TATATACATTATATATAATATATATATATATATATATATATATATATATATATATATATATATATATATATATATATAATATATAATTCTAATGGTGTCTGATATCACATTTCACGTGTCACAAGTTATTATGAAAAATTTAAAACTTTGGAGGACATCCAACTTTCACTAAACCACTCTGGAGATATTTCATCGACCACCTTTCAACCCTCTGGTTATTCGATCCCTAGGGTTTATATCACCCACTTTAAGAGCCCCTTCTAAACTAAACTAGGAGTGCTCTACAGTGCTCCAGCAGTACTACAAGAGACTGTCTACTGATCTATGGTCAATATAGCCAAGATTAAAAAGTGGCCAGACTCCTGCTGGCCATGCTTTTGTACTCAACTGGCCACTATTAATTGTCAGGTGACTGAATACGTAGACCTGGCCGGAAATAGTTGGAATAGATTTTTTTCTACCATATTTTGTGAGTATTTACCCTCGTAACTTCTATTCCTTTTATTTGATTATTTGTTTTATTCACCACTGCATTTCATGTGGTCTCACTTTAGTCTGAAGGTAACTGTACAAACTTCTGCTGGCAGTGTGCAATTCCTTCTACTGTACCAATCCCCCACCCACTCCAATCTTTCTAATGTCTAGTTCAAGGCATAAAGCATCTTCTTTCCTATTGGTAATCAATTTCCCTTCCCAATAAGCAAGGTGAGAAATTAACAATAATAACCAACGTCTCCGAGCAAACTGATCACAATTAATCTCATTTGTCTTTCTATTCAAAACTTTTCCATTAGATTAAGTAAAAAACGTCCACTTAGAGAATACCACATGGATCAATTAGAAAACTACCATATAAAAAATCATATTGAGAGAAAGGCATGGAAAGTTGATTTTTTTGCATCTTTAATCTCGACTCTTTCAGATCTTCCCCTCTAAAAAAGAGAAAGGGGGAAAATATTTTTCTTTACCATAAACATCTTATGTCTGGTGCAGAAACCTCTAACTCTGAAAAAAATATCATATAAATTTGATGAAGACAATAACATGAAATGAAGAATCGCTGACATATACGTTAAAACTTCTGCCACATTAATCCTTCTTACAAGAACAAATGAATTACTAACATTACTATATGTGTGCTTTTGCCATAAAATTAAATTAATTCACTGATATATGCAGAAATAAAAGTTTATCTCAACCTTTCTTTTATGGTACAATAAAATAAAAATGCAATTAACTTTAAGTGAAGTCTTTACTCTAAAAGTCATCACAATACATCAGTGTGCAGAAATGACACACAGGATAATAAAAAAAAACAAGAAAAAAAAGCTTTCGTTGTCACAAAGGCTTACAAAACATTCCATCATTGAAATACTTAAAAATATATCTAGCATTTGAATTAAATAAATAAATTAAAAACCTATGATAAATGTATATACACTCACTTTCCTATATATATCCAGACTAAATACTTGGTCATTAAATACAATAAAAAAATAGTCAGCCCTCCTACTGCACTGTGTTTACATTACTATAAAACATATTGCGTATCTAAATCACAAATATATACCAAAATCTATAAGAAGTGATTAAGCAATAATAAGTATCACATGAAACTACTTGCTACACATTCATGAGAGGGATCAATAACATTTAGATACAGTTACTGTGTTTGGTTCCATGTCACTTTGTATAAAACAGCCTGCAATGACACATGGTGTGGGGCAGTTACTATCAATGGTATTAACAAGAATAACAGGAACAATGATTATATAAATAACAATAACAATAATAATGATAAAAAATGACAATGATAATTTAAGAATGATTATTAGTAAAATAGATTCACTGCAGACTATTACAGCAAAGAATTGTACTTTTTCACTGTAAACGGACAGAAAATTTTTTTAATTGACTGAAAAGATAAAAAGGTAAAACAAATTATGCTGAACATCATAAAAAGGAAATTAGTGTTTATATCAGATAAAAATAATCAGAAGGTGCACAATTAAAATAATTGCAAACATTACAAATTCTGGCTACCAATAATCAATGTTTCACTCACAACCAATATTCCTCAAGAACTACTTTTTGTCAGTCATTATTATTGATTGTATGTTTACCTCTTTCCATTCCTGATCAGAACACAGCAACACTGTGAATCAAAGAATGAGCCACAACACTATTGTTTATTTGTGAATGGGTCTTTATGCCTGTGCCATCAGTGGATTGGTAATCTTTTTAAGAAGTGGATTTGTGTTGTGTGGAAATGGGTGGATCAATGTGCTCTTACTCCTGCAAATCATTCAGCTCCATATGTAAAGGAGGAAGGAGCTCCATGAACAGCAAGTTGAAATGTATATAAGAAAACAACTTTGTGGGGCAGACCCATGCCATTTCATGATTCCTTGTTAATTTTTAATTATTTTTTTACGGACTGTACTTGGCAATGCCATGAATTATTACCACTTACAAGTAGCTATAAAGTGCATCTACATTCTCTACTTCACACTGAAAGCCCGGTGAAATCAGAACATGATTCCACTTCTATTATATTCATGGCACTCTTTGGTCCCAATATTTGCGAAACAACGAGGGTACACTGAACATGGAGGGCTAACTGTACACAAAAAACACAAGTTGCTCATCATATTATATATTTTTTTCCACTGGGAAGTCAGGTGGATGGTTCAGATGTTGAAAATAGCTCTGCAACTTTGGGTTTGAAAGCTTGGAATGTTTCCTCAGATACCAAGTTGACAACCTTGGTGAAGTCTTCCTCTTTTAAGTTCTCCCAGTGTGCAGGAGCTGAAAGGAAGTTGGTAGAGGTTCAAGTAATATCTCATAATCCTAAATTGTGTAAAATAATACATCTTCTGTCTACTTTATAAGTAATCTGTTAATTCATGGTCTAAAGTATATGAATTTGCACTATTATACTGCTGTATATATTCAATATTCTGTATTCCCATGTTCTTATTAACTGAACTTCACCAAATGGAGTTCATAGCTTAGACTTTCTCAAAGTATCACCATATGTGAAAAATCTGATTGATAACAGGTATACACTCGCAAAATTATTCCCTCTAGAATAATTGTTCTTAACCTGGGGTCCATAGATGGGTTTCAGGGGGTCATACATTTATTGATATCACTTTTTGCATAAGAAAGGAGTGTTTTTTTTTGTAGATTGAGGGCTTTCAAGTTTAATAATACTTTGTGTATCTCATATATGAGACAATCAAATGTCAATACATAGAGTATATTATGCACTTTGCATGCATGCCGATGTGAATATTTCTGGGGAAGGGGATTCATGGCAACTCTAAAAGAATAGTTTCCATATTCTTTTAATCATCTATTCCCAAATATACCTTACAGTCATACTCACAGTAAACAGGTACATGTCCTGCTAGCTCACAAACAGCTGGAGCAAATACAGACACGTCCTTAATGCCTGAAAACCCAAAAAATAAAATATGTTACTCATTAGAAAAGCAGAGCTACTTTTACCACAACTTAATTCAAACCAGCATAATATGAATACTTTAATGGTGGAGAGTTAAAATGATTTTGATTTTTTCAGATACGCAAGAAAACAGCGACATAATGATCAGTCTACATAGCTTATATAACAATCCCCATATTCAAAAGAGATCAACAGCCAAATGAAGATTAAAGGTATACACAACTGACTCTAACACTGTAGAGAAAAGTAAATAATATAAGAACAAGAAATAAACAAACAAAAAAACTTACCATAAGCAGGCTTTCGCGCCCAAACAACCACTCGAATAGTGTCAAAAGTATCTCCCTTTATATTGCCATTTGGAGACACTCCTCGAGTCACAAACATGTTGTGAGCTACTCCTTTCTCAATAAACATCTTTGTAATCTTCATTAAGTTTCTGTTGATGAAAATAAAAAAGTTAGGTTTAATGTTATGTCTTTGCATATGCATTGTTATACTTAAAATAAACAGTGATCTAACATACTGATGACAGTTTCTTGGAAGTATTCCCAGGGAAGTATTAATAATCTTATATCACACAAAAGAGTAACAAAAAATCAACTTAAATACATTATACAGATAAGCAGTCAGGACTTTTCTAAGCACAAAGATGCTAACATTATTTGATAGTCTTTTTATTGCTTTGAACCCTGAACAGGTTCTTCCGTTGTAGGTGTATCACATACTACAAGATTTTATCTCCTATGAAGCTATGAGTAGATAGCGAGAGCCTAGTGGGATGGTTAAGCACTGCAAGTGAAATTATGAAGTGGCTGGACTTCTACGAGGGAGGCACTTGGCTCTTCAGTGTGGGGCTGACCTGACTTGCTGGCTGCTCAGTGTGGAGTGTCCAAAATCTCTAAAACCCTTGGTATTATGTAGGCTGGAAATGTGCCTTGAAGTTGGAGACTAACAGAGCACAGATTAACAGTCTAGTAGGTGAGCTGCCAGGTGTCCTAAGTTAACCAGTCATGACATGGTTGGAGGATGAAACATGACCTTACCTGGCTATTGTGTATCATGTGCAGATCAAGGACCAAGACTGCTATCCTATCACTAAGTCTTCACTTTCCCTTTTCATTCAACTAGCACTGTTATCATTATGGCAAAGTATTGTTTTTTTCTTACCTTGCTAGTTCCTCAATAGCTCCATCTTTAAGAAAGAACACAAATCCAGGAGAGTGATAATCCTTAAAGACATAGCAAGGCCCAGCTAGCAATTCACACTCCTACAAAGAAAAGAAAGAAAAATTATGTAATCATTTAACAGTGAGGAGGTATTACATATTATTACATAAACTAAATAATAAATCTAAATACTAATAACAAAACAAAAAATAACAACATACTCTGATGCAGCTTCCTGAAGCTACTAATATGAACTTATGATTATATGACTGCTATCTCACTCACCGCATCCTCTAGGTACAATCGGTGTGGCAGGTAATAGAGGTGGAAATGAAGATGGTTGACAGATGCATATCCACACAGGGAATTGAAAGCTAAACGGTAATTCCTGAAATACAAGAGAAATTTACTTCCTTTGAAAACCAAACTGAAATTTATGCCTATCAATATGTTTTTTTTTTCATTGCTGTTGACTTCATAATATAATCTGATGCATATTTCAAAAATCCAAACAGTTCACTCTATGTATCCAATCTCCTTTAAGAACTAAACCAAAAAGTAGGAGAAGTGGTAGGGGAAGAAAATGGGAGTATATGTAATTTCAACAGTCACTGTTAATCAAACTATGATGCCTCAAAAATCATTATTATTTAATTTCAAAAAGCAAAAGCTGTCATAAAATACAGAAAAAAATAACAGACATCTGTAAGTTACTTGCAAGTACCTTCCTGCATTCATAAACTATAAAAGCAAAACAAAGAATCAGAGTATGTTTCACACAAAATTATTTTTGAAGAATTACTGAATAAAGCAGTAAAATTATCAATGAAACAGGAAAGTCAGAGATATGCAAGTTCCTTCCAAGCACCTTAACTTACGGCGTGTTTGACAATAAGACAGAATGGATGCCTATGATCAGGCTCTCGTAGTCCAGTACCTGCGGTCGACACTCATCCAAGAAAGGCACCAAAAGACTGTGGCCATAGCAGATTGGTGCATTGTTGATCAAGAGAGTTGCTTCTAAATCGTACTTCAGGTCCTGAGGTACCTTTTCTTCCTGCAGGTTGCAATGCAGAATGAGAAGTTACATAGGGGTCATCCCTTAAAATACAAAGTATGCATTAAGCGGGTGAAAAACTGTTCCCTCTGTGGTAACTAAAAAATGAGGCCCCCAGCAGCCAGAACCACTGGTCTTCTCACTCTCTAGTCTATAGTTTCTATGCTAAGGTAGTAGGATTGAGTGGATGGATGAATAAGATAGATAAGGAAAATAGTGCATGTGAGTGTGGGTAAAAAAAAAATGGATATTTTCATTATCATAAAAGACATCTTTCTGATTCTGGTGAGTGACTCTGATTCTTGACTTCTCCTTGTATCATTTATCCTGCTTTCTAAAAAGATCTACCATCACCTGCAATATTACTTTTACAATTTAGTAAACACTAAATCTAAATATGTTAAAAGAAAAAGATAAAGAATAGAAAAATTTAATGAAAACCCCCTTATTGCAATATTCTTTAATTATTATCTAATATATCTTAATGGCTTTTTCATTTTCATTTTTTACAATTTTTTCTGGTCTATGTAGCCAGCCATGTTGATAATTCTTCAATAAAACACTCAATAATAAGCAAAAAAAAAAAAAAAAAAACTTGATTATAAAATACTTAACCAGAAAATCTCCAAAATTATTTCTAAAATGTATTATCATACTAATAATATACAAAAATCCATCAGATGTTTAATTCTTAATTATTCATGAAAAACGTATTTCTATGCATAAAAACTCACCTCTTCATTAGACAGGCCATAATGAAGGTTCATTAATATCTCTTCGTTCTTAATCTTCGTAAAATTAAACTTTTTCGGATCAAATGGCTGCACGACGCTTACTATCTCATCTGGTTTCCTTCTTAATTTAAAGCGATTTGCATTCATCTGGAAAAAATGATAACTTTTAAATACTGACTATTTAGTTAATTTCATTTGACCTGGTCTTACTATCTTTTTGTTTTTAATGTCATAAACAAAAAGAGTAAATTGTAGCTTTGTGAGTGACTGTGTGTGTGTGTGTGTGTGTGTGTGTGTGTGTGTGTGTTGTGTGTGTGTGTGTGTGTGTGTGTGTGTGTGTGTGTGTGTGTGTGTGTGTGTGTGTGTGTGTGTATATGTATGTATGTATGTATGTATGTATGTAAGTATGTCTGTGTGTATGTAGTATGTGTGTGTGTGTGTGTGTGTGTGTGTGTGTGTGTGTGTGTGTGTGTGTGTGTGTGTGTGTGTGTGTGTGTGTGTGTGTGTGTGTGTGTGTGTGCGCGTGGGCGTGTCTGAGTGCGTGGGCGTGTCTGAGTGCGTTTGTCTGTGGGCGTGGCGTGTGTGTACGTGTCTGTGTGTGTGTGGGCGTGTCTGTGATGTGCGCGTGGGCGGCGTGTGCGTGGGCGTGTCTGTGCGTGGGCGTGTCTGTGCGCGTGGGCGTGTCTGTGCGCGTGGGCGTGTCTGTGCGCGTGTGGCGTGTCTGTGCGCGTGGGTGTGTCTGTGGCGTGGGCGTGTCTGTGCGCGTGGGCGTGTGTGCGCGTGGCGTGTGTGTGTGTGTGTGGGTGTGTGTGTGGGTGTGTGTGTTGTGTGGGTGTGTGGGTGTGGGTGTGTGTGTGTGTGTGTGTGGGTGTGTGGGTGTGTGTGTGTGGGTGTGGGTGTGGGTGTGTGTGTGGGTGTGGGTGTGTGTGTGTGTGTGGGTGTGTGTGTGTGTGTGTGTGTGGGTGTGTGTGTGGGTGTGTGGGTGTGTGTGTGTGTGTGTGTGTGTGTGTGTGGTGTGTGTGTGTGTGTGTGTGTGTGTGTGGTGTGTGTGTGTGTGTGAGTGTGTGAGT